TTTATTACATCTTAATCTATTCTCTTAAAATACAAATTAGATAAATCTTTAATTTTTAAATAAAAAATTAATTACATAATAACATGTTTATTATATTATAAAATTTTTGATAAAAACTTATTTTTAGCCCTTTATCTTAATAAGTTTGTAGGTTTTAGTCCCTCACTTTTGAAGAAAATACCTGTTACTTAATGTCAGGTTATAACGTTTTATTAGTTTTGTTATTTGATTGTTAGTTCTGTTAACTTATTATTAATTTTGTTAGCTGATTGTTAACTTTACTAGTTGATTGTTAGCATTCCGTTAACACAGCTAACACATAAAATTGAATTTAAATTTTATATTTTTTACAATGGAATATTAACAGTCAATTAACAGAGTTAACAATCAACTAATAAGACTAACAATCAGTTAACTAAAAGGGTATTAAATAAGGGTTATTTGCTTCAATTTTTATAGGTGAGGGGTTAAAAGTGTTATAATATAAGATGAGGGGTTAAAACATACAAATTTATTAAAACAAAGGGCTAAAGGTAAGTTTATGCCAAAATTTTCAACCATACGTAATCTAACTAATAGTGTAATAATCGTGTAATAGTGCGAGTATAACATTTGTCATAAATAAATGAATGAAGATGGTTGCGAAAAAGACAAGAGAAAAATACTAAAATTGAATTAAAAATAGAAGCCGAAATCGAAATAAAATTTTAAAATGCTCTTCAAGGAAAAATCAACACAGATGACACAGCCATTTCTCATTCATCTTCGTTGATGGCTCCTTCTTCCCTCTCCTCCCTCTTCCTCTCCCACACCTTCCCGTCCCTAACGCCCAACCGCCACTCTCTCTCCCGGCGGAGCACCCTCCCTCCACTCCCTCAAACTCTCGCCTTCTCCACAAAGTCAACGGAGAGCGATAACCTCACTACCGCCCCTCCTCCACCGCCCGAGGAAACTTCTTCTTCTTCCCCTTCATCGGAGAGAAAGTCTTTTTCCGTCGCTACGGGGGAGCTATTCTTGGGAATCACAATGAGATTGCTAAAAACTAGTAATAAAGGGTTCTCCGTCTCCCAGAATTCTGGGCCAATTCCTGTTCTGGAGATACCTAGGCAGAAAAGCAGGAATGGTCGGAGTGGTCGAAGCAATGGGAGATATGATGAGGAGAGAATCGGGGTTGTGATGGAGGATGAGATAGAGCCGGATGTTGTTATCTGGGAACAGAGAGTTAAGGATATAGAGGCTGAGAAGGAGAAGAGAGTGGTGACAAGCCCTGGGTTCAGTTTTTCTGCTGCTGGTCTTTTGTTTCCTTATCATCTTGGGGTTGCTCAATACCTCATTGAGAAGGGTTACATTAAGGTTTGGTTTTTGTTTTAAAGCTGTCCTCTTTAAATTTGAAATGGACTGTGTTTGAATTTTGATGCTATATTGGTTATTAATTGTTGTTGTCATCTTACATTTCTCCAATTTTCATTACATGTCTGTCAGTCTGAGTTTGTGGTCAGTTTCCATGGTTTCTAGTTGGGTTTACTAATTTAATCCTTATAGACCACATGTCTATGGCTCAAGCAATTGATTTGAAGGTTTTTCATTTTTAGGAGGAAAACTTGGCTGTGAAAATTCTGCTTCCAATTTTGTAATTAATCAGTCTTGATGTTTAATTTTGTGGTGTAAACAAGTAGGCAAAGTAAACTGTGGAAAGGGACTGTCTTTCTGCATGAATGATGTCTACCTGGTATTTTACTAGTCCAAGAGTATCTCTTTCAGTACTAGCAGGAGACAGAATATTACGAAATGCATGGATGCTTTATGTGCCTTTTAGAATTTTTTATTTGTTCATAAGAATGCCATTCTTCTTTATTCTTTTCTTGAAACTAAACCTTTCAATGCGTTGTGTATCACACTTGTATTAATAGTTCCTAGCAGGCAATCAAAATGAAAAGACTCATTGCAGAAGTTTGATGGAAGGATTAATGACTAGAATTGAGTTTTGTCATTTGTGGTGTGGTAATTAAGGAATGGGATTGTGCTACTGAAATAGCTTGATACTAAAAGTAAAAGCTTTCATTTCTGTTCCTGTTAAGGATATTTTGAACCTTTGAAAGTGTCCCTTTGCATGTTTTATTTTCAGTTCTGGAGTGACTTCATGAATTAAATTTTTTCAGTAAATGGGTACTGGAAAATCCTTTGTATGATCTTGAAATGTTCCTTCATTTTGTTTGTCTCTATAAATTTGATTACTTCGTGAGAAAAATCAATAAACAAAAATCTTTGGCTTCCATGTTAATTTTGGTTATCTATGGAATTCATTTTCTGATCCAGGAAACAACACCGCTGGCTGGTTCATCAGCTGGTGCCATCGTCTGTGCAGTGATTGCTTCTGGTGCTACCATGCAGGATGCCCTAGAAGTGACTAAAACCCTGGCTGAAGATTGTCGGCTTAGAGGAACTGCATTCCGGCTTGGGGTATGCCTAGGGAAATAGTGACATATATTGTTTGTTTTCCATACCTTTCAGTGGTGTGAAGTTTAGCTTCTTTATTGGGTGGGGTGCTGTAAATATTGATTAGTGATCACCTGCATCTATAGGAATAGTGCACTTTCCATGTAAACTCATGTACTGTACTGATTCAATTCTACACTTGTGTTTTGAAAGACTTAAAACTTTATTTTCTTTTCTTGGGTAAAAGAAGAGCTATTGTCATGTTTATGTGTCAACATTCTACTCAAATTAGAAGTTATATTAATTTCTCCTCTTTGTGATGACAGGGTGTACTTCGAGACGTTCTTCAAAACTTTCTGCCTGATGATGTTCATACGAGGTCCAATGGGAGGGTTCGTGGTGAGTGTTTCTTTTTACACTCTTGTGTATGCACAATATGTTTTTTGATCACTGTGTAAGCACAATATATTATATATCTTTTCAAGAAATGCCTAGTAATCAGGGAGAGGGCAACTAGTGACAAGGGGTGTATTAAGTTACCATTTTTTTTTTTCCTTTGAGGTATGATGATAAAAATCATTATTCATTATAAGGATTTAATTATATACATTATAGTGGAATGATTATTTTAGTAAAGCAGAACTTGTTAGAATCAGGATCAGATTATAAGAACATCTAGATAGAAAATTGTATTAAGGAAAAAGTAGATAAGGTTATGGCACATATAAAAGTGAAGATGCTAGCTTAACTAAAGTATTAAGTGGAAAAGTGAGAGGGGTACTGTAACAATTGCACGTAGTCTCCTCTCACTAGATTTTCCATTTTAGATCTTATACCTTTCTTTGTGCCTAAGGTAATCTTGAACAACATTCCAATTTCCCCAGATAACATATTGACTTTAATTGTGTCTGATTAGAAAACACCCCATTACTTTGAACAATTCTTGTATGGTAACATCAACTATTACAACAGTTGCTGTAACTCAGATTCTCTGGAAGCCAAGGGGTTTACTAGTTGATCAGTTTGACTCCAAGGAAGATCTCATCAATGCAGTCATCACATCATCATTCATTCCAGGGTAGATAGTCTTCTTCATTTGTTTTGTCTGTCAGAGTAATAGTTAATGATCTGTTCTGTTTTCTGATACTTGTTATGAAGTCATACTAATAAAATATACCAGTGCAGCTACCTTGCGCCAAGGCCAGCAACAATATACCGGAATCGACTCTGCATTGATGGGGGTTTGACACTCTTTATGCCACCAACATCTGCTACTAAGACGGTATTTGCTTGAGATAATCTATTTTTGTAACCTGTAATGACCTTCGAAAAGTAGCCTTGCTTAAGATATATCCATGCATCAGTCAAGAAGAACCTATCAAAAATTCAGTTTTTAATTGGACATGCTATTACCTTTCTTAGCTAACCTCTTTCTAGGGTTTCAGTTATTAGTTATCACAACAAACCATTTTAAATCCAGGCTTATTACCTCCAGATAAATGCTTGGATTAAGTGGCTAATCTATTATTCTACTTCAATCAAAGTAAATTGTACATTAAATATATTCCCCTGAGCACATGCGAGCATGTAATAAATTTTTTCATATTTCTTTTCAAGAATAAAGAAACTGAATATATTTTCATATGTTTTAATTTGTTTATGATCCATATCTTGCATCTCTCTTCTTCTTCCCCCTTTTTTTTTTCATATCTTGCATCTTAATAGTATAAATATCTTATGGAAACAAACACAGCTTTGCTGGTATGTTAAGATTTAAGTCCACAATATAGAATATCCAGGAGTCATATCTTGAACGGCCTTCTGATTAATTTGCTAGCATCAAAATAGACGCCTTATTGGGTCATTGCAGGTCCGAGTTTGTGCCTTCCCAGCCACTAGAATGGGACTGGAGGGGATTGGAATTAGTCCAGACTGCAATCCTGAAAACATCGCTACCCCTAGAGAGGTATGCAATTGAATGGTATTTATTACTTCCAAGTATAAGCCAATGACTTATCTGTTGCCAACTATTCCAGCTTTTCAATTGGGCTCTGGAGCCAGCAGAGGATCACATTCTTGATAGATTTTTCGAGCTAGGATATCTAGATGCAGCAGTGTGGGCTGCTGAGAACCCAGTTGACAAAGTAGTTGAAGATGGCACTCCAACCGTCAAAAATGGTTCTGCATGGTAGCTCATTGGAAGCTCATTCATCCTAGCTACTTTCACATTGGTGGCATTTTGCAGCAATTCTTGTCCCAGACTTACCTGTTCACTCCAATTCACATTGCAGCTTGGAAGCCTTGGATAGGTGAATTTTTCATAAATCCTAGACCTGAGCTTAAAAGACACTAGTTACATCATTTTATAGTAACTTTGTACCGATGAAAATGTCAAATTACCAGATTGCCCTTTTGAACTTGGGTTCTGAGTGTTGAACTCCACTCAAGTTAAGTATACAAGGGCTGGTTAAGGGGAAGAAAAGAATAAAATTGTATAATTATTGTAAGACATCATGTTACAATTGCAAAAAGAAACAATTTGTACCTATTATTTCATTCTTTTCTTCCCATTCAAGCAAATACTCTTGATCTCTGTTTTCCTTGAATTATTCTCTTTTTCAGCCCTAGAAGCAAAAGGGAGGGGGACATTTTTATTACAGGCAGAGTGGGAGACAGAAGCAGCCCATTCTGCATCTTCCTTTTGCAGCAAGTCAAAAAAACACATTGAAAGCCCAAATGAGACACATGACCCTATATGGTCAATATACCTCTCATTCCCTACAACCAGACTCAACATATTGCATAACATTCTTGCTTTCCAAGGTTGTACTCTGGAGACTTCAAGGTCAGCATTTTCAAGGCAAAAGGCAATCTATGTCTCTGGGACATTACCTCCATCAATGCCTGGACTGCTTTCCTAGACTGGTCCTGGCTGCATGAGATCCAGTTGGAAAGTGACTAAATGCCCGCCGTATCCCCCTGGTCGTACAACACCATGCACGCTCATGCACCCCCTTCCTTACACATAAAGCTACTTCATTTCAAAAGTCCTTTACAGAGATTTCCCAAAATTTTATCAATCTTTAGGTGATCCCATATGTTCACATCAAATTCCGATCTTCCCACACCATGAAAAAAAACTTATCAATATTTCTCCTGTATCTCATTTCTCTTGTTCTAGGGTTTCCCAGGGGCGTTGTTGCATAGCCGGTTTGGCATTCTGTCCACCTCCATTGTCACTTCCTAAGTACCCAGTTAGATCTTGGAGATGGCTAGTATGCCAAACAGCCTCTGTAAATTTCTTCCTGAGAAACCCTAAGAAAAGTAGTTTCTTTTCAATTTTGAGCAGCCATTTTTGTGATTGAAATGCGAAGAACTTCACCAGCGCTAGTGTCTCAAATGTTAGGTGTCAGACTACAAGATGCGACTCCAATCTCACATCATGTAGAAAGGAGGAGTTTTTGAGCTACATATAATTAACAGGTGGTATTCTCACTTACTAAGCTAGTGTTTTGGAATTTGGATTGATTCATAGCTTGTGATAGCGAAACTTTAGTCTTTCTTCTTCTTCCATCTTCAAATTGAGGTTTGAAAGGTTTAAATTTCATTGTCTTTCTTCTTTGTTCAAAATTCTGTTTGTATAATTGTAGATGTCAATATATAATTGGACTAGCTTTTGCTGGCTTAATTGTTCAAAGTCAACAGCCACAAAAGCTTAAAAAATAAGGCATACAGGGCGCATGAAGAAATTTTTTCCTGAAATTTCCTAACCCTTTTCATAGCATGCAATGATGAAGATGGTAACCTTACATATATGCGTTTAAAGCAGCTTTCATGATTGCAAAGGAGATGGTGCTCCACTGTTAATGCCTCTCAGTGCCCTTGGATTCCGACAACACATTATATGCATATATATATATATATATATATATAAAGTTAGTATGTTACTCACTTTTGAAGAATTTAGAATCTGAATTTATATTTGGAAACTGAAATTTTTATTAAATATTGATTCATAAATTTGGAATCCAATTATATATTATAATATAATAATTTTTAAATTTAAATATCAATATTCTACAATATAAATTTTTAAATTTTATATTAAATTTTAATTAAATAAAATAACATAATTTAAAATTAAAACTCTAATTTATTTTTGAAAGTAGAAACCGATTTATATACTTTTCATATATATATATATATATATTTGTAACTATGCAAGTTGATTTTATTTAATAGTTGGTCCAACCGTGAAATGATCTTAATTTACTGTTGAAAGCCAAACACTATTTTAAAAAAATTAACCTCTTTTAAAAGCTAAATATTGAAGCCAAAATTTGTAACCTTTAAAGTGTAGTTTATGCTATTAAATATATGAATTTGATAATTTTATTCATTTTTAAAATTTTTGGAAATTACTTTCATTAGAAAAATATTTTTTTAGGTCAGTTTGTAAGAAAAAGAAGAAGCAAGAATGCATGTGAAATTATTAAATACTCTTAATAAATCTCTTTTATATGTTCATTCATTAAAAGTATTTAATTAATTTTAAGAAAATAATTTTTGGACAATCTTTTTATATCACTTTTTACATAATTTTATATGTTATTTAAATAATTGATTCTCTCTATTTATTTGAGATATATGAGAGTAAGTACATTTACTTATTTAATAACATGTAAAAGTTGTATAAAAAGATTATATAAAAAAAATTATTCTTACGTAACTTCCCTTAATTTTATAAACATTCTTATATTTTGTTTCTTATATGTCAACTTGAAAATCTACAAGATCAATTATATGAATTTATAACTAAATCAAAATGCATTTCAATTATTTTCTCTCTATATATATAAGACAAGGGAAAAATATATATCAGTCTAGATGCCAAACAAATTGAAATTTTAATATTAAATTATATCATTTTATTTAATTAAAATTCAATTTAAAATTTAAAAATTTATCTGATTAAATATTGATATTTAGCCTTAAAAACAAATTGAATTTTTGAATTTTGAATTGAGATTTCAGTTTTTAAATATAGATTAGGACTCCAAAACTTTTTTTTTAGAGTTAAGACTGATATGCACTAATCTCATAAAACAATATATAATCAAAAATATATTTTTTAGGCTGCATTGCATGCATGTGAAAATATTTAAAATATATTGATGTATAAATTGTTTTATGTTCAGATTGAAAAGACACTACTTTTATATATTATTAAAGTTCTTTATTTTCCCTTGGCCATTAATGCAGTACAATCAGCTTGTTTTACTTGGAACAAAACAGTGTTTGGAGATTTGTTTCGACGCAAAAGACTCCTTAGAGCAAGACTTGTGGGCATACAGAACTCCCCTCATTATACCTACTCACCTTTCCTGCCAAGCTTGGAAACTGAACTACTGGAAGAGTATCACAATGCTTTGCAAGCCGAGGAATTATTTTGGTGCCAAAAGTCTCGAGTGGAATGGATTAATTCTGGTGACAAGAACACGAGATTCTACCATGCATCCTCAGTGATGAGACGTGAAAGGAATCGAATCACAGCTTTGAAAATTGAAGATTCTTGGGTAACAGATCCAATACCTTTGAAGACGCATGTCAGGGATTTTTTTGTGGCCCTATTTTCTCGAAAGGAGACTATAGCTACAGCCAATGACTACTCCTACTTTCAGCTAGGAATGTTAGATGCAGATAGTGCTTCCTTATTACTTCCTATTTCTATGGAGGAGATTAAGATAGCCCTCTTTTCCATGAAAGGCTTAAAAAGTCCTGGCCCTGATGGTATTCAGCCGATCTTCTATCAGAAACACTGGGAAGTAGTCTCAGGTACCCTCCATTCTTTTATCAATAAAGCATTTTCTGATGGTTTCTTTGAGCACACCTTATTACAGGCTCATATCGTGCTGATTTCGAAAGGAGAGAGCCCAGATGTGATATAGAAGTTTCGACCGATTTGCTTGCTAAATGTAGCCTACAAAATTCTGTCCAAAGTAATAGTTAACAGACTGCGCCCTTACTTGCAGAATTTGATTGGTCCTTTGCAGAGCAGCTTCCTTGCTGGTCGAAGCACAACTGACAATATCATTCTGGTCCAAGAGGCTATCCACGCTATGAGGAGGCTAAAAGGGAAGAAGGGGGCAGTAGCTTTTAAGATAGATCTTCATAAAGCCTTTGACAGTGTGGATTGGAATTTCCTTAGGGAAGTTTTGGTTGATTTTAACGTGCCAGACCCGTTAATTCGTCTAATCATGTTCTCGGTGACTTCCTTACAACTTTCTGTTATTTGGAATGGGGAGGAATTGCCTTATTTTTAGCCACAGCGAGGACTGCGCCAAGGGGACCCTTTATCGCCATACCTCTTCATTATGGTGATGGAGAAACTCTCTCATATTGTTATGATCCGATTGCACACCCACAAATGGTCATTGTTTCAACTATCACGTGGGGGTCTAGCTTTCTCACATCTGTTTTTTGCTGATGACCTCATGTTGTTTGGTACAGCTTCCATCGCCCAAATTGAGATCATTATGGATTGTCTTTCTGAATTTGCCGGTCGTTCAGGATTGGAGATAAACTTGAGCAAGTCTAAACTATTTGTTTCTCCAAATATTCAGCGCCAGTTAGCAAATTCATTTAGCTTTGCTTGTGGAATTCCATTAACAAATGATCTCGGCACTTATTTCGGGGTCCCTATTATCCATGGTAGGTTCAAGGCTAGTAGCTATAAGTACATCCTTGAAAAGATGCAGCTTAAACTTGCAGGGTGGAAACAACATCTTCTAAGCATGGCGGGTAGGAGAACACTAGTGCAATCAGTAACTTCCTCGATACCAACCTATACTATGCAAACTGTTCTGCTTCCTAGTAGCACATGCTCTGCCATTGATACTTTGAATCGCAATTTTCTTTGGGGTTCAGATGTACAAGCTAATAAACCACACTTAGTCCAGTGGAATGATGTCTGTTTGCCGCGGGAATATGGTGGCCTAGGTGTGAGATCTGCTAAGGATTGTAATAAGGCCTTGATTGCCAAGCTAGGATGGCAAATACTCTTAGGGAGTGAGAAACCATGGTGTCAAGCGATGAAGCGTAAGTATCTTCATACAGATAGCTTCTCTAGTTGCAAGCCCATGCCTTCTTCATCAGTAACTTGGCGAAGCATTCTAAAAACTCGGGATATTCTGTAGCTGGGAATCCGATGGCGGGTAGGTTCTGGATCGGGCATTCAGTTCTGGAATGACATTTGGGCAGGTAATTTGAAACTTCTGGACACCACAATAGCTCCGGTTCCACAGCACTTGCTTGATATGAAGGTATCTGATATCATTAGTAACTCATAATGGAATCTGCAACAATTAACAGAATTTCTTCCAGAAAATGTGCTTCAACTTATAGCAGCTATTCCGTTACCTTTAACTGACCACTTGAGGGACCAGATGTATTGGCATGATTCTCCTCAAGGGGACTTCACGGTTAAGTCAGCTTTCAATCTTATTCAACAGTCTCGAATTTCTA